AGAAAAGTATAAAAACAAAGTATAAGAAGTAAAGCCATGGTGTTATGTTGAGCTGTAGGGGACTCAGGTCAACAATTTCTGACATTGCCAGTGAAGCAAAAGACCCAATACTATTATGGACTACTGGATTCTTTTAGAATATTTTCCTGAGTTTACATGCCTACAATATTCAAATAACAGAACTTAACCAAAAAAGGGGATACAGATGAATGTCCATTTTGTATCTGTGTATTCAAAATGGTTAGGATAAACATATAGTTACATTCTCTTAATTAATAGAGGGATTTATTCTAATAGTGTTTGTAAATAGGATATCATGTCCGCATCTTGTACAGCAATTAACCACTAGGAAGAATGTATGCAATGTGTTAATTATTGAAACTGTTCTACCCATTTGTTTTGAAACTAATTGCTATTTGTTTCTCAATAAAATTAAGGGGAAAATATACAAACAAAAAAATGAAAACTGAAAAAAAGAATTAAATGAGAAAAAAAATGTATGTATAAGGTTTAACAGTGTGTGGTCCTTATTACTCAATTTGAGTTCTTATAATAATGCTAGCAAATCAAATTGGTTAATTGTTAAGACACTTTAACAGCCCTTTCAATAACCAGCTGAATTTTCAGTCATGTTCCGAACACAACAGAAGGCTTATCTATGAGCCTATCTTATCTATGAGCTTATCTATGTGTTTATCTATGAGCCCTTCTTTGACTTTTCTTTGCCTACAGTATTCTAATTCTGGCTCATCTCTTACTACACTGTAATTTTAGTTTTAGTTTTTTAAATCCAATAATTAATTAGAAGTGAATTTAGAATGGTTTCAGGTGATTGGATGTTTTGTATGGAAATGAATGTGTGCTAGTTTTCCTAGACTGCTTCCATTCATCTTTAAGAGGTAGTTGCTAAAGTCATCTATCACCACAGGGCTTTATATAAGTATAATATATATACAATCAATGTACACATCTTAAATGTAATGCTCAATGGGTTTGATAAATTTATACACTCAGATGATCAACAACCCAGTGAAAATAAAGTGCATTTCTATCAGTATGGGAAATTCCTTTTTGTCCCTTTAAGTCAATTCCATGTACGCATCCTAGTAACCTCTGATGATTCCTGTTACAACTCAGTTTTGCTTGTCTGGAAGGTTATATAAATTGAATCATATGGTATATGTTCTTTTGTGTCTGTGTTCTTTTTCTGTCCTGCATAATGATTTTGAGGCTTTATGCATGTTGTTATATCAGTAATGTATTAATTTTTATTGCTGAGGAATACACCTAGTTCATTGTTGTTGGGTTTTTTCCCCCTACTTGATGGATAAATTTTTAAATCGTGTTATCTTATTTGGGAAAAGGCTATTTTAGATTCTGTTCATATCCTCTTTTTGGCAAAAGACATCTGGTCTGTAGTTACATGGGGAAAATATATCCAAGCATCCTGAGTTTTATGCCTGCTTATTAGTTGTCTACACTGATAACAAGTGAGCGAACAAGAGAGAAGACAGATGGTTTGTGGAGCTTTGCTGACTTCCTAAATGTCTCCTTGGCACAGTTATTCTGGCTTCTGCCTCCCTGAGGGGTAGGATGACAGTGCAAGTGGAAATGCCCCTGATAATGAAGAACACTCAGCAAAAGTGAGGACGGGGACTTTCTGCCCCCGGCTGTGTGATGCATCCGCATGGCAAACCGTCATCGACTGTAGTCACAGAATTTGCCCTGTGAGGGACACTCAGCCACAAGGCACCTTGCACTTTAATGATTCGATACTTAAAGACTCTTAAGTGGAGTTAAAGAATACAAGTATAAGAGTTGTTTAAAGGAAAATGTTAGTAAATTTTCAGTCACTTGGGGATAAATGTCTAAGTTGTTGTTCATTATAACTAAGTCTTTTCTCCCATCCAAGTACTAACCAGGCCTGACCTTGCTTACCTTCCAAGATCAGGAACATTCAGGGTGGTATGGCCATGAACGTAACTAAGTCTTTTTTGCGGGGTGCGGGGGACTGGGGATTGAACTCAGGCCTTTTTTTTTTTTTTTTAAACTTAGGCCCTTGTGCTTGCCAGGGAAGTGCTTATTCTACTGAGCCATCTCCCCAGCCCACTAAGTTTTTTCTTGTGCTTACCTTTTCACTTTTTGTTGTCTTTTTATTCCTTTAATAGTAGGTACAAAAATTAGGAAATGAAAAATAGGAAAAAAAAAGAGAAAATGAGAAAATGAAATTTCATATTATAAAAGGGGTGTGTGTGCATGTGTGTACACGTGAAGCAAATTAAAATGTTTTTAAAAGATAAATGCATGCTTTTTTCACAGAAGGCTTCCTGTAGCTTTGTGACTTTAGGCAAGTCACTTAATGTGTATCAAGCTTAGTTTTTTTACTGTCAGAGGGAGTCAAATGCCTGTACACCCAGCTTATAGGATTATTAAATTCATACAAACAAAAATTTATGTAAAAGTACTTGGAAATTTTAAAGTTCTATTGAAATATATACATAGACTTTGTTTATAATGATTTTATTCTTTCTTTATAAAGAAAGATATCTGATCCTTAGCTATAGAATAGGCATTTTCCACAGTATCTTATATGACTTTTTTAAAAAGTCAGCCATTGTGAAAAAAATCATCTTTTTAAAATGTGCTACCACAAAGTTAAAAGAATGGTGCCTCTTTGAGAAGGCTGTTTCAGGGAACCCTATTGTGAATACTTTTGGAAAGCAGGAAGCACAGAGTAGAAGAATCAGAAGTACTTGGGACCTAGTCCCATCCTGCGACTTGGTGTTTTTGATCTGTAGCCTTGTAGAGACTATCTTTGTCTCAGAGTTTTCATTTAGAAAATGTGGAAAATAATTTCTACTCTCATAAGAGTGTTGTGCTATTATTATTATTATTATTATTATTATTATTATTTTGCTAAAGAGATATGTAACCATTTGTCTTAGTTTCCCAAAGAATTCAGATTTTTACAAGTTGGGCTTGCTTTAAATTTCTATTTAAGGCATACATTCAATTCTATTTTGGGAAAGGACTGAAATATTGTCTTCTACTATAACTACACAATCTTGGCAAAAAATCATTTCTTAACCATTTCACAGGAATAAAAGGTAGTACATTTAGTTATACGTTTTATGCCATTGTTCCATTAGAAGCTAAATGATAGGAGTGAGGATACAGTGACATCAATTGTTAAGGCCTGTACATTATTCATTTAACATCTGCTACTGGCTCTCTTTTCCCTGTGGGGGAATAAATTACAACACACCAGCACATTTTTCATGCTTTGTGTTTAAGCATTTAAAAGTCATTTATTGTATTATTAATATTATTTTATTTCTGCTTATTTGGCAGCACCTGAAGTCATCAACGCCCACGACTACAGCCAGCAGTGTGACATTTGGAGCATAGGTGTCATAATGTACCTTTTGTAAGTAGCCTGCTAAATGTAGAGTGGAAAATGAATGGATGGTCTCTTCATAGTGGCAGGACATGGACTTTAGATTAAAACCAAGCAATATATTTTTAAAAGTGATTCAAAAACCAATTGAGAAGTCATTCCAGAGCTCTGTTATTAGTTGTCAGATTTATCCCTGAGGTATTTTTAATACTGTAAATGTATAGCTTTCAGCTTTGCTTTTCATTGATCTATAAATGCAACAATATTCTCTGTATGGTCAGAGCAAAGTGAAAACTGTCTTTAACACCTTCTTGATTCTTTGTTATGATCTAAAAGCTTTTTGTATTTTCCCATTAAATTCACTTGAAGCTCATCAGGCTCTGCCACCTGGCCTGCAGCTGCCCGCATGGGCATGTGTGGGGAGTGGGCCCTACCTAGAAAGGCTGTCCAGGGCCTAGGGAGCGCTCTCTGCTTTCCAGTTCTACTGCTAATGCTACTGAAAACCATATTAACTTTTGTTTTTCCTTCTCTTTTACTCTTCTGATCAGTAACATCTCAAGCCCTATGTAGTTTTTCCTTTCAAATGTTCTTGCCTATTCTTCATTTCTGTGTAATCTTTTCCAACATATTCCATGGCCTTTCTTACTGTTCTCCCTGGCTCTGGTTACCCTTCCCAGTTCATTTATTATACCACTGTCAGGATTGCCTTTCTAAATCACAAATCTGATCATACTACTTCTCGGATTAGAAAATCTCTGATAATTACTTCTTGTTACAGAAAGCTATGAGAGCAACTTGGCATGGCACATCTCAGCAAACCTCTCACGTCCTGACTCCAGTGGGCCTTGCCAGCCTTGGGTGCATCAATCTGTACCCCTGCCCTATTCTGTGACAACCCTAGGCCACTCCACACTTCACTACTCAGATATCCTCTGCATTTCATGCTATTGGTGTGCATGTGTGTGTGTGTGTGTGTGTGTGTGTGTGTGTGTGTATGTGTGTGTTTTCTTCTTTTCTCTACAAACCTCCCTCCTGGGTGGCCCAACTCAAACATTAAATCTTTTTATTTCCCTAACTCTAGTCCTACCTCAACAGAGTTATTACATTTATTATATATTTGCCTTCCTACATTTCACGCAGAATTTAAGGCATAATATAAAAATGCACAAAAAACAGTTGTATTTAAATAAAAATAATAAAATGGGAATATTCAGTCAGGAAAGTCTGCATATGTTCACAGTTTGATGTGTGAACAATAGCATTGTAAAATGAGTTTATATTATACAATTATATTTTATATCCTTACTCTGAAAAACTGGTATCTTAGGTTATTTACCTTTATACCCTTAGTATTTGATACACTAGTAAGTGAATATTCTATGTTCAATATTTTTGTTCAACTGAATTGAATGATTTGTCTAAAAGGTATTCTGAAAAGTTAGTGACCATTGTTCTGCCTCTTGATAAATATGAATATTTTTATGTTGCTGCAACATTGGTTTCATGGTTATATTAGAGATTTCACTATGCACTACCTCATCTCATTGGTTTCTAAATATTGACATCACAGTACTTACATTTTCACCGTTCTGTGAAATGGAATACACAGTCAGTAGAAACTAGATGATATGATTGTTGCTGTAGCTCAACTGGTCAACACACCTCATTGCTTAGACAATACGAAGTATAGACAGTCATAATATTTTTGATCATTGTTTTGTATTGATCAAAATCACAGTACAAAAGTTCTGAGCTTCCATCCTTAAAATAATTATGATTGTTTTACTTTAATACTTGTATGGCTTTCTAGACAATGCACATGAAATATAATATGTATAATGAAATATTGCAAAATTCATGTGGTGTTTGATGTCATCTTAGCTTGAATTTGATATTAAGTAAGTGAATTACTTTAAAATCTTTCACTTAAAGATAGTATTAAAATTTTTCTGCTCCATACTGTGGCTCCAGATCATCATAACAGCTTCTTCTTTTCTTTACAGTAGACTCCTAACTTAGCTAATCAATGTGTATTCATTAATCTGTCCGAGGCCAGTGGCGTTGTAGATAATTTCTTTCACCAAGAGTACAAGCATATTACTTTCTCTCGGGGGCTATTTTTCTGTTTGTTATGTTGGATTCATTTCTACTTAATTGGGCAATGATAACATACTTTCCAATGTAAAATTAAAACAGATAAATATTCTTTATGGCTACTATCCTCTGCTATTTAGATTCCTATGAATGTATCAGAAAATAATAGGAAAGTTTTAAAAGAGCTATTTTTCATGTCTTGGAGTCCTTTCTTTCTGGATGTGCGAGAAAATTGCTGTCATAAAATTCTGTACACCGCTGATTGACCAACCATTAGATACATTTTGTGTAAATAAAATTGCAAAAGATAGGAAAAAAGTGGAATTTTAAAAATATAGCCCTTAAGCTATAGCTGCACCATCGTGAGGCAATGCAAGGGCGGCTAGGAAGCCAGAAGATGCGCATATCGCTGGCTGATAACAGGCGCAATGAGCTGCGCTTGTGCCGGCTGCACTTGTTATAATAGATAGTAATTGTCCATAAGGCCATTTTTCTGGCTTTTTGTTTTCTATGGCCTTTTAAATTGCAATTTTAAACTAAACATTGGCAATAGGAGCAAGATGAGAGAAGGAAATGTCAGAATGAGCCGGAGAAATAGGAAGTGTTTCAGGGTTTGCCTAACAAATTTGATAAATACTGACCTCTAAACAAGACCCTATTGCTAAATGAAAAGCTTTGTTTTTCAGCCTACTTTCATCCTACTAGGATGAACTAGCCCTGTTCCCTGGGGAATCATCATCATGATCATAAAATTTATTTATCAGATTTGAACTTAGTCAGAAAATGTTGCTGAATTAGGAATATTTGATTAGTTCCTGTTTTCAAACAGCATGAAAATATGTTAAGATATTTGGAGGTTATCATACTGAAAATAGAGAGCAGTTTGGGAAGTAGAATGGAATGATGCCATTTTAATCTTTTAGTAATACAGTACGAAAGTATTCTGAATGTTGTAGACATCCAGAGCTGCCTCTGTGATGATTGTAGCTCCAGTTTGCATCTGGTTGTCAGTAGGTGCATCTGGGTGTTGTCACCAGGGCTGCCCTCAGCTGTGGGTGTTAAGCAGTGATGATGATTGCTGAGCATTTGTTGAGCTCATACTCAGAAATGAAGTCAACTTTTAAGCATGTGCTTGTGTTTTGGGGCTTGGATCACTTGTTGAGGAGTTTCATGGGCTTGCCTGTGTTCTGTTAAAATATGTGTAGCTTCTCATTAGAGAATCACAACCAGGCCCACTTTATACACACCACGCATGCTTTTATAGATGCTGGTTGTATGTGTTCTCAGCTTTCACCCTTTCAGACTGAGGGATCAAATCATCATCTCATTTTTTCTTATCCTGACCTTCATATTGTATATCATTGTTAAACAGTTGTGGCCACTTTAATGGTTTTTGGCTTTCACTCAGAGCATATAGACATTTCTAGGGCTATTCTTTGTTTTCATTAGTTACATTTGTATAGTACTTTACCATACTCAGTAGAATAAGTGCTTACCTGGCAAGCATAAGGGCTTAAGTTCAATCCCTGGTTCTGCAAAATAAATAAATAAAGTCCCACATAGTCATTCGAGTCTGACAATTCCCATTAGCCTCTGGTGACTCTTGCGTTACTGTAACTCTGGTTTGTATTTTGTGTTTTATCTGAAGTTATTGTCTTGTCCTTTTGCACCACTTGTAGATTTGAACTCACTGCCTTCTTATATTTTAACTCAATTTCAATTTAGTGTTTCCCCACTTGTAAGATCTTTGAGTCATTTGCAGATCTAAAGGTTTCAATGTATATGTAAACTTCCTCTACTAGATCATTTCTGTTTTAAGACAAGAACCTAGAATGGGGGGGTGGGGATATAGCTCAGAGTCACAGTGCCTGCCTGGCAAACATGAGGCCCTGAGTTCAATTACAGGTTTTAAAAAAAAAACCAAAAAACCAAAGCCTGTCATGGATCTTAAAGAAACCCCATTGCTTCCATTCTTACGTGCAGAAAAGTATTTTTCTCTTCCAATCCTTTACTCAAATATAAAGTATTACTATTCCAAATATTGTAGAAATTTAATTTTAATACCCTTATTTTGATTAGCTTTTAAACATTTAAAGAAAATCATTGCCTTTATCTAGATTATGTGGAGAACCACCCTTTATGGCAAACTCAGAAGAGAAGCTTTTTGAGTTAATAAGGAAGGGAGAACTGCATTTTGAAGATCCAGTCTGGGATTCCATAAGTGATGGTGGTAAGTGTGGACTGATTGTTATTTACTAAACCAAATATAAAGAGGTTGGCCAGTAATAAGACCATTTGAAGTATCTGTTTAGTCTTTGTGCTGATCAGCTTTTCCGTAGTTGGAGCACAATACCCACTACCCACAACTTAGAGGAGAAAAGGTTTTCTTTAGTTTCAGGGGATTCTGTCCATGGTTGAGAGGCTCCAGGGCAGGAACATCATAGCACATATATGGGGTAAAGCAAAGATGCTACATTCATGGAGGCCAGGGAGCAGAGCAGGAAGCAGCCCAGAGAAAGGGGCCAGGAACCAGATGTAGTACCCAAGATCATGCCCTCATGACCTACCCAGACACAGCCAGAGGTGTGTACCACCAATCCCCTGGGGAGTTTCAAGACCAGTCAGGTTGAATTCAGGAATATAACCCTATATTCAAATACCTATAATCTTTGGACTGACATTAAGTATGAAAAGGTCCTTTATAAAGACTTCTCCAAATACAGCTTCTCTAACTGCAGTAGAACACTCATCTCTGACAAGACATAAAAGGGGGATATATTGGAAGCCTCGGAAGCTAGGAAATTGATCAAATGTGTGTAGGTGGGATGAGGCCTCAGTGACTAAAGCAAACAAGCTGACTTAGTCCTGAGATAAACATCCTGTCTAGTTAAGGTTAGCTCTTAGTCACTAGGCAACCTTGTCTCATGTGTTACTAACTGTGCAGAAGTATAACTAAATGTAGGTTTTGTTGCACAGTGTGTTGTGTTAGTCCGTCAGGCAGACCAGCAACCACGTAGCACCCCACCCCCCACCCTCCCAAAAAAAAGACCAATCATGTTGAAACAATAGAGCACAAGCACTACAGTCATAAAATTTACTTTGGAAATAGGCACCATCTGCGTGTGGAAGTAGCAGTACCTTTAGTATGATTGATCATAGTCAGAAACTCAACAAAACAAGAACATATGGAGTAAAACCTAAAGAAGAAATTGTATGATTAGATAATTTTTGCTATACACTATTTAAGTAGCTAATTAAGGTTTAAAAGTTCAACTTTACACCTTATCTATTAGGCATTCATACTGGTGGTGCGTGACACCTTCTCTTCATGTTTTACAGACTTAGCCCTAAGGAAACAATAATGCATGTGGTACTACTAGTAGTTAAGAGAAATAAAGATTTTTCAGGATTTTTCTCTTATTTGCAGCCAAAAGTGTTTTGAAACAACTTTTGAAAGTAGATCCGGCTCACAGAATTACAGCTAAGGAACTACTAGATAACCAGTGGTTGACAGTAAGTTACAGTAATACTTTTTCCTCCTTCCATTCTGACATGCTGCTGTTGCTCATGTCTTTTCACTTGGCTTTATAGTTTTTATGGATAGTCTTCTTTTTTTTTCCAAAATTTTATTGATAAACAGATAGCAATGAGACAGTTTCAAATCAAATCGGAGGTACAGTTTCAACAAATAATACACTGCATATATTCTTCTTAGTGGTTAATTGCTGTACAAGATGCGGACTTGAGA